ATATACTGATCATAGTATATAAATGAGGGGTGATATACCATTAATGGGATCTTACAGTCCTTGGCTAGGTCTCTTAATTGGTGCAAAAGGTTTTTCTCATCAACTGCAGTAGTAACGTTCACTGTTTGAATGAAAAAACGTGAGGCTGCTATTTCCTTATAGCGAATATCAATGTCCCATTCAAACACTGGAAATAATTTATATAGTTCAGATAAATTACCCATGAAAAACGCCTTAGTATCTATATTCAGTGAACCAATTCTAGCAACATTCTCATACATTCGTAGCCATGACTCTGACAGATTCTTGTCCACGTAGGAGTTATTTTCTAAAGACTCCATACAGTTCTCAATGTCATTACGAATGGAAAGATTCCAATAAAGTACATTTTCTGTGATAGTGACCATAATCCTAGGACCGTACTCTGAGAAATATTCATCTTCCCAGTCATAGTACTGAATAACATAAGAATCGTCACTAGCCAGATTTCGCAGGTCTATACCTTCCTTCACCTGAGTACACCCATAAATACTAGTAGCCAGGAACCCTCCATACAGCAACACCACAAACACTTTGGTCCAAATCTTTGTAAGGAAAGGACCATAATATTTCCTAAAGAATTTGTTCATTGGATGTTCACCTTCTCCCCCAGAAGATTTATCAGAAAAGCCTGCTATACAGCACATGTTGTACAAGTAGGAGCGATGAGGCTGAACAATGTCCTTCACTTTTGTGAAAATTAACCAGTGTCTGTTGCCTTCTTCCCTTTTACCATTTAAAGCAAGGACAGCTCCTACGAATGTGATGTTGTATATATAGCAGAAGATGAAAGCAGTTCCTGTGTAGAGACAAAAGGACTTCACAGACTGAAAGGAAGTTATCATCCCTATGTAGAAGGCTAAAACATCAGTGAGAGTGGTGATTGTGATAGACACTGCTGCCTCTGCATAAGTTTCAGCCATCCGCTTTTCAACGTTATTTTTAGGATTAGTCTGTTCCCAGGAGGAGATCATAATGAACATGTCATCAACACCAACCCCTACAAAAGGGAAAAGGTGAATAGCTTATTGTACATACCATCAATATCAATTCTAATGGAAAATAGCAAAATTGCAAAACAAGCAATGACTTAAGCTGAGCAATATTCGCACTAAGTGAAGTTATGGACCCACAGAAAATAAATGCCATCCATCCCCTCCATATGCAAGGTAATGTATTACATTTTCCCATGGTGAGATCTCTTTAGGTGAGGTCTCTCTTTCTCTCTCACCACATTTCTCTGAAAGAGAAAGCACGCCTGGGATAATGAGGTAGATCCCTCATCCATGCTATGGAAAATACAGAACTGCTTTTGGGAGCATGGACCCACCTTCAACCTCACACTAAGCTGAATGGCCCCCTGCTGCTGTACCTCCTGCTATAAACCATTACAAGTGAGCCCTTATTTTGCACATTCTGCAATGCTGAATAACAGAATGGATAAACACCTGGAAAATGACTATCGTACCCAGTGGTCTTAACTTGTAATTGTGCTGATCCCTGATTCATGCCATGTAACAATAATCTCCCACTAGGCACATTTTGCATTTCCATTTTTTCCATCAAGCCCAATTTCTTTTCACTTACCCAATATAAGAAATGGTGCACTTGCTACAGTCATGTCAAATGGTGCCCCACAGAACAGCAACAGTCCAAAGCTGCTTAGCACAGCTAACCCAGAAGACAGCACTCCAAAGACTGCAACCCACACTTTATTTCGTACACAGTCAACCCTGGAAAATTATGTACAAAGCATCTTGTTAAGCTTTTAAATGCTGTGGTTTTATATTATATACTTATATTATAAATAATATAAAATATGCAATGGCATACAAAATCCTTATAATACATAAATTATAATTACCATGTTTTGCAAAAGCAACTTTGGTTACATGATTCTCATTAATACTTTAATGAGAGTGTCAGGTATTAACATTTTAAAGTCCTTCCGATTAAACTGCACAACCAGTGACTCAGTGTAGGTGCATGAGTTTAACTGACAGCAGAATTGTTGTAGCTCTCTATTCCCCCATCATATAACAATGAGTAAAAAGAAAGCAATATGATGCCACCTATTGGGAAGCAAAGAGTTGTGAAACTCTGCCCTGATTATGTAAACCGCAGTTTTCTTTGACTCCTAGGCTCCTTGCCTGAGACGTGTGGAGTCCTTTCTCCTGTTCTCTCCCTCCTTCTGCCTCTCTCTCACTATCTTGCAGAACACTAAGGAAAAAGAGAAGATAAGAAAAAGGAAAGGAAATGACCAGAAGCAAGAAACCCGAGGGCTCTCTTCCAGACTGGAGAGAAAGGATGAAAGGCAGGGCTCTGAGCTCTGCTGCCGAGCACCTGTGTTTTGCGGGGAGGGAAAGGCTCAACTGGGGCAGCCATTCAATTGGACATTATGACTCCCACCTCTGAGGTGGATGCCAGCATGTTTTGTCTTTGCCTCTCCTATGAGCAACAAGTGGGCTCCCCTGATAGGAGTACGTTTGGCTGTAGAACAGTGCCTGTCTGACAGATTGATATGAGCACCCTGCCTGGGCCTGAAGTCCAGCTTCACAGCTTACACAGCTCTGTGATAGCTTCTCTACTCTGCACAGAGTTCAGAGGTCTCCCAGCTGGTCCCATGCTGGTGAGTCCAAATTTGACAAACTTTATCGGTAGGTAATAATTTTTCTTTTGGCCTCGTCATTTAGTACATTGCTTGGAAAAGGAAACTATGCAAGTTATGTTGGGAATGTATATCTTAGTTTGGTGTGAAATACATTATTTTAGTGCATCTGTGTCCTTCATAAATGAAAACACAAGGCTTGATGTGGCAAGGTCCTGAGGATTGTGAATCCCCCCACTAAATTCAGCAGGAGTAAAGAAAACTCCATCTCTAGCTACAGAATCCCTTGATACTATGCCCGTCAAGGCAGTATCTAAGCATCTTGCAAGAGATGCCCACTGTCTTTCAGAATCAACCACTCTAAAAGATGCTATGAAAATGTCCTGCTGATCATTTGCACATGACGAGTGCATGGCTATGTGAACCGTTTCTTTAAAGCTGTCACAGAAAACCAGGCAGGAAAGGGTTGGGGAAAGTTGTAGATAGAAACTCTACAGTGAAGCAGAGAGGGACAGAGTCGCTTTAGTGAGAACGTTGTTTTCCTTATTCGAATCGAGTTTTTTCTGCTGAGGGGACAGCATCTTCTGTGATTCCTTACATTTGTCACATGACATAGTGTTAGACATTGACTAATTTTGGACATAAAAGGAAAGGAAAATGCCAAAGTTCCTTCTCTCCCCAAGTTTTTCAGTCCGGTACCTACATGGAATGGCCTGAGTGGAAGGAGCATATCACAAGATTCTGAGACATAAAGATGCTTACCACAGGGAACAGCAATGCCCAGGGAAGTTCAGGAGGCATGAAGCTGTAAATGTTTATAAATGGATTAAAAACTCCCTGACAGCTCACAAAATGTAATTGCAATTGGGAACTCATCATCAAGCAGGTGTGTGTCCAATAACAAGAAGACGGGGGATCACAACACCAGCCAAAAGTGATCATTTGGGCAAGCGATCCCATCATGCTGAGTACCTAGGCAGGGTGAGTGTGCCCATGCAAAGGAGATCAGCTCCTGAAGTCCTCTTCTACAGCTCATCACTAGGTGTCAGGGGAGAGCACATTCAGACTCTCCTTACATTTTTAACGAGCATCATCAGCATGGAAGCATGTCCTCTGGAATGGTGGCCGAAGCACAAAGGGGCATACGAATGTTTAGCATATCTGGCACATAAATACCTTGCAATACCGGCTAAACAACTGCCATGAGAACGCCTGTTCTCACTTTCAGGTGACATTGTAAATAGGAAGCAGGCAGCATTATCTCCCGTAAATGTAAACAAACTTGTTTGTTTTAGCGATTGGCTGAACAGGAAGTTGGACTGAGTGGACTTGTAGGATCAAGGTTTACATTGTTTTGATTTGAGTGCAGTTATGTAACAAAAAAAATCTACATTTGTAAGTTTCACTTTCATGATAAAGAGATTGCACTACAGTACTTGTATGTGATGAATTGAAAAATAGTATTTATTTTATTTTTACAGTGAAAATATTTGTAATAAAAATAATAATATAAAGTGAGCACTGTACACTTTGTATTCTGTGTGGTAATAGAAACCACTATATTTGAAAATGTAGAAAACCATCAAAAATATTTAATAAATTTCAATTGTTATTCTATTGTTTAACAGTGCTATTAATCATGATTAATTTTTTTAATTGCGGTTAATTTTTTTGAGTTAACCGTGTGAGTTAACTGCGATTAATCGACAGCCCTAAGAAAAAGTAATAAGGATATGGGAATGTGTCTACGGAAGCAAAGAAGTCAGGGAAATATCCTAAGCAAGAGAGAGTGCCTATTTTCTGCGATCTCTTTTCAAAGACAGCATTCATGAACAGGCTTTGATCTCAAAATTTACAATATTATTGTTAAATTTAAAACTGATTCAGAAGCAGAAGAAACCTTTATTTGTGAAGAGACTTTTAACAAGATAAGTTCTACTCTGAAGTTGGACCAGCAGAAGTTACTGTGCTCAAGAAATGGAAAAACCTCTGAAATATTAAAGAGTAATATTTATAAATGAGCTGCATTTTGCTGTGATTTATTTTAGGAATGTAAGTATGGACATGGAATCTTCCTTTTGTGCTCACCAAAAGACTGATCGCATGATGGATTTCTGAAAACTGTATGTGTTCAAAAATCTTTCAAAAATCAAAAAGGCAGAGTTAAACAATATACTGTTCAGCCATTTAAATACAGGCTAAAACACAAGAAAAATAGCCCTGTAATAAAAGTTGATTTAAATAATGCAAATAAAGAAAAGTCAATTAGGGCTAAATTATTCATTCCTCAATAGTCGGTAGACCCACGAATGGAAGTTCTTAACTGGGGACAGAGGCCAATTAGTCCTAATTTTGTCATTTTTAGTCTGACTACTTTAAAGACTAACTTTAAAATGGTTTGTGTTTTTAATTTGTGTAGGGATAGTTATGAAATTAAAGAATTAAAGTTAGCTTAAGTTTGGTTAAGAAAATAATATATTTGCTTTATGATTTGAGGTTAGTAAGGCTAAGGCCCCAATCAACAAGTAAAAGAAGGCTTTGAGAATGATGATTTATAAGACTAGAATGTAGTGTGGGACGGATGTATGCTTCAAAAAGTAACTATAAAATAAAGCGCTGCAGTAACAAGACTGTGACACCCTGGCACCCCAATATTCACCACTATCAAGTAATTAGGATATGTTCTGTACAAAATATGCCTTGTGAGATATCATTCTAAAATTCTTGATCTGCTAGACATTAATATCTCATTGGATTGTATGTGCTATCGTCGTATGTCAAGTTATGAAGTTTGGCTATGTATGTGTTACTGAAACATGTTGTGAGGTTGAAAACTCCCACAAGCAGCCTTTCAGGTACAACAGTCAAAAGGCCAAACCATGTTACTGGCTTATTGAGGAAATGCACACGAGCACAAGGATTACCCCAGGAACTGTGTACAATAGAAACCTCTCAGAGATAGCACTATACAATGGGAACTGTTTGACCAGGTCACAGCAAAAGAGCTTTCCAGCAAGTGGGAAGAAGATATAAAAGGGGGACAATGACATCATGAGGCTATCTCATTCCCCCTACAACAACACACCTGGAAAGACTGAGGAACAAAGACTGAACTGTAGGAAGTGATGGTCCCAGGCTAGAGGGATTTCTAGTCTGTGAATGAAAACCTGGGGAAGCCAAGGCAGCTTGTGCCTTAAGAATCTGCCAGCCTGATTATCACTCAAGGTGTGAATTTCCTAATTCATATCCTACCTATCTAGTGTGTTAAGCTCAATTTGCAATTTTGTTTATTTGCTAGGTAATCTGCTTTGATCTGTTTGCTACCTCGTATAATCACTTAAAATCTATCCTTTGTAGTTAATAAACTTGTTTTGTTTTATCTAAACCCAGTTTGTGCAATTCATAATGGGGGAGGAGGAAGCTGTGCATATTTCCCTCCACATTGAGGGAGAGGGCGAACTTCATAAGCTTACGCTGTATAGTTTACTATGCTGTGCAAGATGGTCTAATTTTGCATTTATCCTCCAGAGGGCTGGGCCATTTCCTAGCTCAGTCTTCCCATGCAGAGCTCATTGCAGTCTCTGTGTGAGTCTTCAGCTGGGGTGTGTCCCTACGTGTGTGTGTGTCTGTGTGTGTGTGTGTGTGTGTGTGTGCGGGAGGAGGCTGGAGAGCCTGGCTCAGCAAAACAGTGTAAGGGAGCCCAGGCTGGTGGAGCAGGTGGGCTCAGTGAAGCCCTAGTACATCAGGTGGCACCCTGGATGGAGGGGTCCAACCCATCACAAATGCAAATAAAAGAAAGGCCATGGTGGAATAAGGATAAACTGCTTCAAACTGAGTTTTTGCTAATTCTAGCAAATTAGCTGAAGGATATAAAGAGAGCCATGAACCTGGAGAATCTTTACCAGATCCAGCCCAATCATGCAGGGGCAAAGCAGAATGAAAGGACAGTTCTTTGGTCTGGTCCATCTGAAAGTATAGTTGATCATATAATTATGGATGCATGTTACTGCATTGGATGTAGTAAATTACTTATGGTCTAGGCCTGGAGTGGGCAAACGTTTTGGCCCGAGGGCCACATCGGGGAATAGAAATTGTATGGCGGGCCATGAATGCTCACAAAATTGGGGTTGGGGTGCGGAAGAGGGTGCAGGCTCTGGGGTGGGGCTGGGGATGAGGAGTTTGGGTTGTAGGAGGGTGCGCCGACCTGGGATTGATGGGTTTGGAGAGTGGGAGGGGGATCAGGGCTGGGGCAGGGGTTTGGGGCATGAGGAGAGGCTCAGGCAGTGCAGGCTCCGAGCGGTGTTTACCTCAAGCGGCTCCTGGAAGCAGTGGCACGTCCCTTCTCTGACTCCTATGCGGAGGTGCGGCCAGGTGGCTCTGCATGCTGCCCCATCCGTAGGCACTGCCCATACAGCTCCCATTGGAGCGCGTAGGAGCTGAAGCGGGGCCATGCCGCAGCTTCCAGAGGCCGCGAGATGCGGCCCCGACCCCGCACCCCGGCGGGAGCGCCGAAGCGGGGCTGAGTCATGTGGTCCCCAGACCCAGCGCCCCGGCTGGAGTGCCGGAGCAGGGCCGAGCCACGTGGTGCAGCTCGCAGGCCGTCTTAAAACGGCTCACGGGCCGGATCCTGCCTGCGGGCCATAGTTTTCCCACCCCTGGTCTAGGCTTTTTAGATGTGTTGAAATCAATTTCATAGGTACCATTTGGCCTTTGGATTTAATAAAGGAATTTATGGTTAAGTTAATTCCAACACAGGGACAGTTAGAAGACTAAACCTTTCCTAATTTAGCTTTTATTGAAAATGGAGAACACATTCTTGTATTGTTGGAACGATTCATTTTCTAGTTTTTGTTTTACATGAAATGTTGGTGTATTGAATCCTAAAACCAAACAAACAGGTTCTATAGGTTTCACAAACAAACCTGGAAGAAGAGATTTTCCTATCCCTAGAAAAAAACAGAAAATTCAGCAAAACATGAAACTCAGCAAAATGCACACATTCATATTACAGCTTTTTCTTGAACATTTCATACCTATTTTTCTTTGTTTTGTAAAAATGTTTTCTTCAATTCAAGGATAACATAATGAAAGGTTGATCCCACATAGGCCAAAACTAGAGCTGCATAGGTGCAGGAAGGGAAGCTTTTCACCTTGGAACCTGGTAGCCCAGGATCCTCATTTTGGTCATTGACAACTGCCTTGAATCCATATTTTCAGATACTCCTGCAATGGAGCAGGCATAACTAGTTATATAGGAAATAGTCCCTCACACCCTTGATGGAGGACAGGATCAGCTGTAAGGAAGCCTATGAAAGCGTACACACCCCTTATTTTTCCACTTTCACTTTTTTGTCCTGTGTAAGTGTGCAAACATAGGTACATAGAAAGCATTGCCTCGTCCACATACCTATGGTGGCCTTTTGCACACCTGCTGTGGTGGCCATGCCCCTCTGTTACTGCTACTACAGGATTGGTCCATCTGTGCTAAATTACTTCAGTAATAACATTTTGATTTACTGCATCTGCTTTTCAGTACCAGATTTGCATCAAGTCACGTTTCTCTCCTTAAAAATATAGATATGGGCATGTTCGAGCAAATCCTTACTCATGTGAGTAGTTCTCACTCGGGCAAGATGTCTGACTATGCTACAGCTACTCGCATGAGTAAGACCTTAAGGCTCACCTACCATTTTTGTATCAATATTAATAGTCATACACTTTAACTATTAGGAGTAGACCCCCAACCAAGGACTAGGGCTCTGTTTTACTAGGCAAGAGAGCCGTTGTCTCAAATTACAAACTCTTATTTTTCAGCTGGAAAAGAAGAGTTTGTAATTCAAGTAAAAGGTAATTTAAATAAAATATAAAATATATAAAGGATATGGAAAAGTAAAGAAAAATAAAAGATTATTTACTTAGAAGAAAAGAGCTTACCTTAAACAAGAAATAATGGAAAAGGTTATAGTTAGAAAGTATGTTATGGAAAACAGGGGGATCACTTTCCTGGTATTTCCTTCAAACTCTTCCTGTCTGGATATTGAGGTAAAGTAAGCCACCTGCCATTAAAAAAAATATAACAGGTGAAATAACATTTGTCACTGCTCTTGTATTGTATGCCTGTGTTTAAAACAGTATAGGAATAAGGTTCAAAGAGTCTATTTTAATATCTTCATTATGATTTTAGCTGTAATTAGCGATGTCAGCCATAGCTAAAATTACCTATTCAGAATAGAAAGAAATTAGCACACAGTTAAGCACACAGCCCAAGAGAAGATGAATGACGGTGAGCAAAGCATTTGGTTGAAATAGTTTGGACCTAGGCCTGCAATCTTTATTCAGGCAAAATTTCCATTGAACTAAATGCTAGTTTCACCCTCCGCCTTTACACTCGTCAAAGAAAAGAACAGACTGAATTAAAGCATGCCACTTTTTCAGGGTTTTTTTTAAGAGGGAAACTGGTCTGGGTCCAATTGTACAGGTACATCCTCTAACACTTTGAAATCAACAGAAAGAATGAGGTGCACTAGGAATGCAGGATCAGGTTAGCAAACTAAATTTTAGCTTAAACATACTAGAATGATGCTATTTCCCACACTGTACCACAGTTCAGGGTGTGTCAGCGATGGTGTTGTAAAGGTCTCATCCTGTCTGCTAACCACCCTCAGTCTCCATGACATCACTGAGCATTGAAACTGGTTAGCAGCACATTTCAGGAGGTGCCTTCACTTGAGGGGACCGATGGAGGAAAGCGGGACCCCTCCCCGCCCCAAGAACCGCACAGTGTCTGTGGCCCGATCCTACACTTTCTGAAGTCCTGAGGGAAAAACCCCTTTAGCTTCAGTGCCAGCAGCGTCTGGCCTTAAACCGAACGCAAGGCGAGGGAACGTTCCAACCTAGCCAAGGGCAGGTGCAGCACAAGCGGCCCCTCCCTTGGGCATTTCAGCGCCTTTCCTCTCATTCCGGATCCGGGTTTGGGTGCCGGGTTCGGGAACAGAGCCCGGCGCTCCGGCTCTCCCGCCCCCGAAGCGGGGAGGCTAGAGCAGGAGGATCCCGCTGCACACCCCGGGGAGGGCTCCGTACCCCAGGGGGCTGCTCGGCGCTGTACCTGGACAGAGGTGAGATTTAAAGCCTCCAGCTCAGCCGGGATGCGCTTGAGGAAGTTTTCCAGCCACTGCAAACTCCTCTCTCGGTCCGCGGCTTCGTCTTCTCTCAGGTAATAAACCAGCCTCAGGGCTTTGGCTGCCTGCACCCGGGAGGCGCCCGCTCCGCGAGCCAGCTGAACGCCTCCTAAGAAGGTGCCCATGAAAACGCTGCTCCCGAACACGGGGTACGTGAGCTGCGGGAGGAGGGTCTCTAGCCGGGCCGGCTCCCCCTGCACTGCAGCCAGGAGCGGGTTGGGGCTGCCGCAGGACCCATTGCTCCGGACGCACAGGTCCGGGTAGGAGAGTTGGGTGCCTGGGTCCCCCCCGGGAACAGCGAGGCTCTGCACCGCCCCGTCCAGCCGCAGGAGCTCCCCGAAGGCTCCCGCCGTCAGGATGTTGTTGCCTGAGGCGGAGACCGCGATGAGGGAGGCGAAGGCGCCCTCTGTGAGCAGCCTCTGGCCGGAGAAGCGCTCGGAGTCGCGGGTCGGGAAATGCTCCTGGTCAAAGCGTCTCTCGCTCTTGGCGGGCCCCCCGAGCGGCGTGAACTGCCCCTCGATGTCATTGGCTTGTCTCTGCGGCAAGAAGAGGAAGCCCGCGCCGAGGCTGCCCGAGAGCAGCAGCGGGAGCAGCAGGAAGGGCCACGGGTGGGCGCCTATCAGCCCCCCGAGCCGGCCGAAACGCCGGCTGAGAAACAGGGCAAAGTTGTCGTGCGGGGGGATGGTCGGTTCGGGGCCGGGACCTGGTTCTGGGTCCAACTCAGAGCCCATCTGCCCGCTGCCCCGCCTCTGCTGCTCCTTGGGCCCCATGTCCTGTCCGCTGACCCCGGCTCCTGGCTTCCTGCGCCCCCTGGCTGCTCCTGGCCCCGCTCCCTGCCCCGGCGCTAACGGTTCAGGGAAGGGGGCGCGGGGGGCTACCCTCATCTGCACTTCGCTAGCTGCCTAAGGCCGCCGCGTGGGAGAGGAAAGAATTGTCTCTGAGGGTATGTCTACACTACAGGATTAATCCGAATTTAGATAATTCGAATTTGGGAAACAGGTTGTATAAATTCGATTGTGCGCGGCCACACTAAGCACCTTAATTCGGTTTTAAACCACATTAATTCGGTGGTGTGCGGCCACACTACCCCATTAACTTAAACACAGTAATTCGGTGGTGTGCGTCCACACTAACCCTAATTCGAATTAACAAAATCGATTTAGGCTCTACTCCGTTCGTCGAGGTGGAGTACAGAAATCGATTTAAAGGGCCCTTTAATTCGAATTAACTGGCTCTGTAGTGTGGACGGGTGAAGGGTTAATTCGGATTAACGCTGCTAAATCCGAATTAATCCCGTAGTGTAGACCAGGCCTAAGGGTATGTCTACACTACGAGAGTAGTTCGATTTTAGTTAAATCGAATATGTGCAATCGATATTAGAAAGTCGAACGTGTGTGTCTACACTCAGGACAGTAATTCGACTTTGTCAGTCCACACTACCAGGGAAAGCGTCGACATTGGAAGCAGTGCACTGTGGGCAGCTATCCCACAGTTCCCGCAGTCCCCGCTGCCCAGTGGAATTCTGGGTCGAGCCCCCAATGGCTTCTGGGTAAAAAATTGTGGCGAGGGTGCTTTTGGGTAACTGTCGTCATCCGTCAGTCACTACCGCCCTGCCTCCCTCCCTGAAAGCGCCGGCGGGAAATCAGTTCGCGCACTTTTTGATCAGTGACAGCGCGGACGCCACAGCACTGCGATCATGGATCCCGCTGCGACCATCGCTGCAGTTGTGGCCGTTCTCAACGCCTCGCACCTTATCATCCACCTTTCCCACAGGCAGATGCAGAGAAATCAGGCGAGGAGGCTACAGCACCGCCGTGAGGGCCTGAAGTCGGAGAGTAGCACAGAGCTGTCAGAAACCACGAGCCCCAGCGCCCAGTACATCATGGTGGCAATGGGGCATGTGGATTTTGTTGAACGGCGATTCTGGGCCCGGGAAACAAGCACGGACTGGTGGGACCGCATAGTGCTTCAGGTCTGGGATGAATCCCAGTGGCTGCGAAACTTTCGCATGCGGAAGGGGACTTTCCTCGAACTTTGTGAGTTGCTGTCCCCTGCCCTGAAGCGCAAGGACACCCGCATGCGAGCAGCCCTCACTGTCCAGAAGCGAGTGGCCATAGCCCTCTGGAAGCTTGCAACGCCGGACAGCTACCGGTCAGTCGCGAACCACTTTGGCGTGGGCAAATCTACCGTGGGGGTTGTTGTCCTGCAAGTAGCCAAGGCAATCGTCAAGGTACTGCTGTCAAAGGTAGTGACCCTGGGAAACGCGCAGGCCATCATAGATGGCTTCGCCGCGATGGGATTCCCAAACTGCGGTGGGGCTATAGATGGGACTCACATCCCTATCCTGGGACCGGGCCACCAGGCCAGCCAGTACATCAATAGAAAGGGCTACTTTTCAATGGTGCTGCAAGCACTGGTGGACCATCGGGGACGGTTTACAAACATCTACGTCGGATGGCCGGGCAAGGTTCATGACGCTCGCGTGTTCAGGAACTCTGGTCTGTTTAGACGGCTGCAGGAAGGTATTTACTTCCCGACCACAAGATAACTGTTGGGGATGTGGAGATGCCTACAGTGATCCTCGGGGACCCAGCCTACCCGCTAATGCCCTGGCTCATGAAGCCCTATACTGGCGCCCTGGACACAGAAAAAGAACTGTTCAACTACCGGCTGAGCAAGTGCAGAATGGTGGTGGAGTGTGTTTTTGGCCGTCTCAAGGGGAGATGGAGAAGCTTACTCACTCGCTGTGATCTCAGCGAAACCAATATCCCCATCGTTATTGCAGCTTGCTGTGTGCTCCACAATCTGTGTGAGAGCAAGGGGGAGACCTTTATGGCGGGGTGGGAGGTTGAGGCAAATAGCCTGGCTGCTGATTACGCCCAGCCAGACAGCCGGGCGATTAGAAGAGCCCAGCGGGACGCGCTGTGCATCCGGGAGGCTTTGAAAGCCAGTTTCAAGGCTGAGCAGGGTACCCATTGACTTTTAAGTTTGTGGACACAGAAGCTGAACTTGCCCCCGTTTCTTTACCCAGTTGCCGTCGACTATCCTCTCCAATTACATACCCCCTTCACCCCCTTCCCAAAAAATAAAATCTGTTCTGTTTTGTTCATGGACACCGTTGTCTTTATTACTGTTTTCACGGGAATGTTTTAAACCTGGGACGCAGACTGTGGCGGGGAGCGGGTTTAGGGTTGTGATGCAAATGATGCTTCTAAACTCCAGGAATGACAGGCTCCGCGATGGTGGACTGGTTGTTTCAACGGAGCCTGCCAGCCCTCCTGGCCGGGACTGCGTGTATGTGTCGGCTATGTGACTGTCTTGCAGGGGGAGGAGGGTTACAGATCCCCTGCTGCGCGGCTCTGTGATCCAGGGTAAGGACCGCTGCATAAGATCTGTAACTGCCCTCCCCCGCCACCAAGTCACAGAGCAACACCACCGCCCCCACCACACAGAACATGAAAACCACCTCCCAGACTGACCAGGATAACTAGTCACTGCACTGTATATGTGCCCTGCTGCTGCACCTGCCCCCTGCTAAAGGTGACTGTCCTGTCCAATGACCAAGCCCCTTCCCCCCCCCTTCAGACAGACTCCCCTCCAAAAGAAGAGGATGGAAACAGAAATGAACAGAAACGTATTCTTTATTAACAACCGCACATGGAACGGGGGGGTGAAACTTGGACGGGGTCTTGTGTGAGGCGGGTAGGAAAGGACTTTTCAAATTTTGGGGAATGAGAGCCTTCTAGTGGTAGAGCAGTCCGCAGGGGTGGAGTGAAATTTTTCCCGGCCCCTTCCACCCCTCCGTGTTTGGACTTTGGGTGAGGGGGGTATGGGACTTGGTGGCGGGGCAGGGCAGTTACAGAGCGACTGCAGCGGGGCTCTCTCCTCCTGCCTCCGGTCCTGCAGAACATCCACAAGGCGGCGGAGCGTGTCCGTTTGCTCCCTCATTAGTCCAAGCAGCGTTTGAGTAGCCTGCCTGTCCTCCTGTCGCCACCTCTCCTCCCGTTCAATGTTTGCCCGGTGCATTTGGGACAAGTTCTCCCTCCACTGTGTCTGCTGGGCTGCCTGTGCTCGGGAGCATTCCATTAGTTCAGCAAACATGTCTTCCCGTGTCCTCTTCTTCCTCCTCCTAATGTGCGCTAGCCTCTGGGCAGATGTGGCTGTGGGAATTGGAAAAAGGGAGTGAATTCCTGAGACAGAGCAATGTATCTGTGAACAGAGAACATAGTCTTTCTCTGTGAACAAGACCATGCAGAGCACCTATCACACGCGCACTGAGGACAAGGTCGAATTTTCGGCCCTCGCCTACAGTGCCTGCGGTCTTGCTGTGGCGAGCTGAGGAGCAGGGCAGGACACCGGACTTTGTCTAGATGGCAAACATGGTAAGCCGTAGACTTGTGGCCGCTTAAAACTTTAAGAGTGGCACTGGCCTCCTTTCACATAGAAAGCAATGCGAGTCTCTGCTGGCAGCAATCCTGCAAGCATGAACTCTGGCCCTGTCCCAGCCCCTCGCGGCTGTAAACCGCGTGGCTGTAAACCGGCGGTTGCAGTTCTATAAAGGGACGGGCAAGCAGTCCCAATACTAACTTTCCCCTACCTAATTCACAGCAGGGAGTCATGCCAGACATCACCCTCCTGAAGGTCTCGGAGAGCCAGAAGGAGAAGATGCTCCGGGACAGCCTGCAGAAACCGGGGCCATTTGCTGCACTGCTGTGCAAGGCCATGATCCCGGAGTACCTGCTGGCGTTGTGGCAGGGAAACGTGTCCTACCACGGGGGGCCTAATAAGCTGTCCCTGCCCAGGAACCTGCTGATGAGGCTTGAAAAACACCTGCAGGAGGTGTATGAGGAGTTCTCCCCGGAGGATGTCGCCTCGATCCCCGGTTACATTGACCAGTTCTTGGCTTAGGTGCCCTTGGAGGGACAAATGACTGCAGGGTTTTGGGCACTATAATCATGAAGCGGACATTGTGAGATTTTTTTAAAATGGTTCGGACTATATATTGAGGCGCCCAAAGACGGAGTAATCATGATACACTTTGCACTGATTCCCCTTTTGTTTGACTTTCCTGTTTACATGTTTTTAAGCACTTTACCCACTGTTAATATTTTCAATCTTCCTGTTTTGTTGCAAATAAATGTTTACATGTTTTAAAGCACTTTAGCTACTGTTAATATTTTAAATATGCCAGTTATGTTGTAAATAAATGTTTGGATATTTAAAACACTTACTGCTTGATCCTTCCCCTGAATCTGTGTCTGGGGTAACGGCTGGGGAGGGTTGGTAGGGGATCTCTGTCAGGGTGATGAAGAGCTCCTGGCTGTCGGGCAAATCAGCGTTGTAAGCGCTGTCTACTGCCTCGTCCTCCTCATCTCCTTCCTCCTCTTCCCCGTCCGCTGAGGAACCGGCCGCGGACAATATCCCATCCTCAGAGTCCACGGTCAGGGGTGGGGTAGTGGTGGCGGCCGCACCTAGGATGGAATGCAGTGCCTCGTAGAAACGGGATGTGTGAGGCTGGGATCCGGAGCGTCCGTTTGCCTCTTTGGTCTTCTGGTAGCCTTGTCTCAGCTCCTTGATTTTCACGCGGCACTGCGTTGCATCCCGGCTGTATCCTCTCTCTGCCATGGCTTTAGAGATCTTCTCATAGATCTTTGCATTCCGTCTTTTGGAGCGCAGCTCGGAAAGCACGGACTCATCTCCCCACACAGCGATGAGATCCAAGACTTCCCGATCCGTCCATGCTGGGGCCCTCTTTCTATTGGATTGCACG